ATTACGAACGCAATGAAAAAAAGTAAAATTTAACTGAAAAACAAACAAACGTAGGATTCTACGATTTTTTTTTTTTTTTTAGATTCAAAACAGTTTCAAAACATTTAAAGTTTTAATAGAAACGGATTAATAATAAATTTGTTTCAAAAAAAAAAAAACTCTATAAAACGCCTACAACCCTACAACTCGACTCGATAACAAAAAAAAAAAAAAAAAAAAATGAAATTCGTGACGAAAGGAAAGAAAGAAAAGAAAGAAGGGAAAAGGTACTAAAGTGTTCAAATAGAAAGTAAATCACGTCGGGTTTTAGGGGAATTCGTTAATAGATAAATTTATAAATAAATAAAATCGATCGCGAGAATCCATTTTATATATCAATAATAATAATAATAAAAATCACGTTTTATATAAGTCATAAAGTAAAAAAAAAAAACATTTTTTTTCTTCTTTTCCCTTCGTTATTATTTATACGTCGGCATTTTTTTTTTAATAAACAAAACAAAAATGGGGAGAAATAGTTTTTTTCTAACAATATTTTAGAAAGTTGTTTGGGAAAAATTCAAAAATTAAAACTTTCGAATCACTCACTCATACGATTTTTTTTTTTTGCCCATTTTTGCCATTCGTAAGTGTCTACTATCTCTATCTCTATCTCTATCTCTCTCTCTCTCTCTTTCTTTCTTTCTCTCTCTCTGTCTCTCTCTCTCACTGTCTCGATCGGGAAAAGAAGGATGTATAAAACGACAGAAAAAAAAAAAAAAATTCCTCAAAAATAATTTAACCACTATTATCATCATGATTGCGTTCACCTTGTCGCATATTGAAAAGAATTAAATCAATCATCACGATTTGACTTTCATATTTGAGTCCTCGAAACGACCTAATAATAATAATAATATTTATTTGTACTTTGCCAAAAAAAAAAAAAATAATAATAATAATACAAAACAACGCCAACAGCTGCTCATTCCGAATAATAATAATAACTTTTTTATATGTAAAAATATAAATAAAAATATTTCTTTGGTTTTATTTGCTTCAAAAGTTCAAGATCAAACAAATATTTTTACGACCCCCCCCCAATGATTTTTTTCCTCAAACGAACCGGAAATTAATAAACCCTCCCTCTCCCTCCCTAATTTATGTTGTTTAATTTTTACGTTTCGCGTTTTAAACTCGTTGGAAATTTTTTTCTGCGGTAAAAAAAACTCACTTGAACTTTGAACGTTAAAATCATCATCATCATCATCAATTTTTCCCGATAACCTTTGACCTTATTCGGACAAAACTTTTCGATTAGTTTAAAAATTAATTAATTAATAATTAATAAAAGGTAAACAAAGGTGTAAAATAATTTTCCAATTTCTAAACGATTCGTAATGGGTTAATGATGATGATGATGATTGTGAGTGTTAAGCCTGAACTGCCTACACGTTTCACATGCACCTCGTTACCCTTGAAGTACGAATAAGACGCGAGACTCTCAAAAAGAGAAGAGAAGAACAAAAAAAAAAAAAAAAAAAAATTGCAACAACAACAACAACAACAACAAAAAAGAAAAAGTTGTCGTGTCACGGACGTCAACTCACCTTTTTAAAGATGTCGTTTTTGTTGCGGCTCCGTTGTTTTGTACCAGCTTAGGTTTAAGCTTGTCTACAACATTATTCGTCGGTGTACTTCCGCTTCCTCCTTGGCTGGCATTACTCGTTACGTCGCTCGCTTTACTGCTTAAACTACTCGCACTGCTTTCAGTCGATATGGCCGGTTTAACATAATTATTATTATTATTAATTATATTCACTTTTCCGTGAGTTTTTATTATTTTTTTTTGATTTCCACCATTCAATATTCCACCCCCTCGAGTCTGTTCAATGTTAATTAAATTGTGTACAGCCGTCGGTGCCATTTTACCCTGTGTGGATGATAATGATGATATACCGTTAAATGCTAAACCGTTTTTATCCGAATGATTTTTTTTCTCTTCTTCCTGTTTCTTCTGTTCCTGTTGCTGCTGTTCGTCTTCTTCCTCCTCTTGAACGTTCAATTCCAACTCTATATGATTCTTGCTCAAAACTGAATTTTGTTTCTCGTCTACTGGTATTACGTATGAAAGCATTTCCACGCGGTCTCACGCCGTCCACGTCGATCCTTTCATTTTTACCAATACGTTAACGGAAAACATTTTTTCTTTTTTTTTTTTTTTTAATAAAAATTTTTACTTCCGGTATTGTGTGGCATAGATGATATTTTCTTGGATTTACTGAATCTGAAATTAAAAAAAAAAAAATTATTACTTCAACGATTTATATATATATATATATATATAATAAACAATAATTAAATAATAAAAGAAAGCATTTAAAATTATAATTCTCGTTTGTTTGTTCTTCCGATCCGGTGTGCAACAAACAACAAACGTTGTTCCTCGATTTAGCACTACTACTTCCTTGTTTTCAAATTTAATTATTATATATCGATCGATACTTTTCACTTTTCCCTAAAGGTAAAAAATTTCCAATTTTTTCTCGATTCGAAAGCCGAACGGATTAAATTAAAAAAAAAAAAAAAAACAAAAACAAAAACAAAAACAAAGCAGAAGATAAAAAAATAAAATTTTCGCAACAACAACAACACAATCTGTCAATAATTACATTAAATAAAAAAAATTCACGGTGAATATTTTTTTTTTTTTTTTTTTTTTTTTTTTTACGCCTTCATTATTTCGTTTCTTAGTATAAACTGCCAAAAAAATAAAAAAATAAAAATCATGCAATATTTTCTTTTCTGACGCCATTCATTTTCAATTGGGGGGTGGCGGGGGGGGGTGTGTGTGGGCATCTGGTAAATCCGACAGAAACAAATAACTATGCAAAATAATAATAATAATAATAATAATAATAATAGAAAAAATTCACGTCGGCTTCGTTTCATTTCGTTTCGTTTCGATTCGTTTTTTTTTCTATTTTAAGAATGACATTGGTGTGTAATATTTAAAGTCGAAATTTTTGAAAATTTATGAATATGTACGATAATAATAATAATAATAATAATAATAATAATAATAATAATAATAATATTAATAAATTATCATTATTATTATTATTAGTTAAATTGACACTCTGTGATTTGTGCCAAAGGTTGAAAGTGAAAACGGGTTGACATTTAAAAATTTTTGCCAATTTTTTCTCTCTCTCTCTCTCTCTCTCTTTCCGCCATCATTGCCATCAACGGCTACTCGCGAGTTATAATAATGATAATGATAATGATGATGAAAACACTAAAAAAAAATTATTTTAATTTAAATAACCCAGGTAGGTGAAAATTAAGTGAAAAAAATTCAAGGATTGAAATGAACAAACGACAATCGCGCCAACAACACCTACGAAACAATTTAATTACATTGACTAGAATTCAGGTACAACCTTGAACCGATCGATCATCTCAACCTACTTTTTTTTTTTTTAGCTCGAAAGCTAAGTCAATATTTACTCCTTTGTAATTAAAAACAATGCGCGGATGAGTAGTAAACGTTCGCATGAATTGGTTTTTACAACAAAAATTTTCCTTTTGTTTCAGGTATACCAGCAAAAACAAAACGTTTTACATAATAATATACGTGGGGAGGGAAGGGGGGGTTTAAGGAAGGAGAGAGAAAGAAAGAGAAAGAGAGAGAGAGAGAGAGAGTGTGTGATGAAAAGTATCGGTTCACCGAATTTGAAGGGTTTAATTTTAACAATGGTGTGACTTGATACACGTAAATGCACTTCAATGCCACCACTCCTATGAGTATGAAAACTAATCACTAATTATTATTATTATTATTATTATTATTATTATTATTATTATTATTATTATTATTATTATTATGAAAAAATTTTTTAAAAAATAATGTGACATTGTTCGAATGTGACAAACAGGAAAAGGAAATTTCAAAATATATTTATCGATTTCAATTCGATGACGTAAACATAACCCGACATATAAAATGTTTACAATTTTTTTTTTAATTAAAAAAAAAAAAAATAATAATAATAATAATAATAATAATAATAAACGCGGTGGAAATTTTTTTTTTTTTTTTTTTTTTGCGTCATTTTTAAATTTTTAACTTTTCATCAAAAGACAAGGGCAAAAAATAAATAATGAAACGGATGTTCGTTCGAATTCGCAACGGAAAATTAAAATAAAAAAAGCGCGCAAAAAGTAAAAAACAAAAATAATAATAATAATAATTACGTAATTATTACATCATCGTTTTTTTTTATAGCCTTTGTTAATTATTATTATTATTATTATTATTATTATTATTATTGTTATTATTACAATCATTGGCATAAAATTAATCGGAAGTGACCGTAAGAGAAACGATAAAAAAAAAAAAAATTTTTTTTTCATTATTGTTATTGTTCCCTTTTAGTTTTCGTTAGCCCCCCCCACTTCCTCCTCCCCCTCTTCATTTTTTATTATCGATTGGGAGTAGGCACGCACACGCGCACATACACACGCACGCAAACGTGCACACACACACACACATACACAAAGATATTATATACACGCGGGCGTAACTAAATTATTCGTGTGTCGTGATTTAACAACGCCTCGGTCTCTTCGCCTCCTCCCACGCACTCGCACACACACACACACACACACAAACAAAAATACCATCAAAAATTTAAATAACGATTCGCCAATTTTCCATCGATACCTAAAAATTACACAGGCGGAATTTAAAGATCGTAATAATAATGCATAAAAAAAAAAAAAAAGCAATTTTATGGTTACTTAAAGGCAATTCATAAACAACCAAACATTTTCACGTTTATAAATAATAAGAATTTCCCCCCCCCATTTCTCCCCTTTTCCTTTTGCTCAACTAACGGGTACCCTTTTAAAAACTCTCTCCTCACCTTTTTCTTCCGTATACTATTATCATTTCCGTTTTTAGATACTCGTTTTTTGATAAATAAATTATAAAGAGATTTAATTATACGTTTGGTTAAATGTCGTCGTCGTCGTCGTCGTGTACGAAACGTGTAAATAATTTATGACGTCATACATAATATATACCCGAAAAGCGGATGTTGCCCACTATATCAAAAGAAAATTTCGATTGGGGAGAAAGGGGAGGGAAGGGGAATGGGGAGAACGCGGCGGCGGCCACCGTTTAAAAAAAATTCATCTTTCCCGATTCGATCAAAAAAAAAAAATTTATTATTATTATTATTATTTTTTAAAATAATTTTATATTATCCGTTCATTTTGAATTCCGACGACATATTTCCCTCGATTTTTTTTTTTTTTTTTAATTATAACCTCCTACACGTATGTATCAGGGTTAAAAGTAGATTAAAAAAAAAATAAGTAGTTGAATTTACTTGTAAATAAATGTAAACAACAATGGTCAATGGAGTGAATGTAAAAAAAAAAAGTCATTCACCTAAAAAAAACCGGCATGAGTGACGTCACGCACAAACGCATAATATTTATGTTACGGTGAACATAACATAACAAAAAAAAACACAAATGCAAACATAAACAAGAAATTTTGGAAAAATTCATCATTCAATGTTGAAAAAAGGATAATTGAAGGAGTGTTGTTGGTGTTAATAACCCGGACATTAAAAAATTTTTTTTTTTTTTTTAAACAAACGTTTCCTGCCACGACAATTTTACACATATATTAATTAAGTTTAAAAAAAAAAAAAATTTTTTTTTCGTTGCGTGAATATTTGTTTGACCCGAAAAAAATAAATCTTCCCGGAAAGTAATTAATCAAAGAAGGGAAGAGAAAAAAAATAAAAAAAGACGTGGGATAAGAAGGGGGGAAGGGGAGGAGGATAAAAAGAAAATTATTAGACAATCGCACGACAACAAAAACACACAATTTTGACATTTCAAAAACCGCGACGTAGAAATCCACCCTTAAAATCTAAAAATACGACAAACATATAAAAATTAACCTAAATTTTCCTAAAAAAAAAAAAAAAATTCGTTAAAGATAGGGGAACCTTCTCACGTACGGGGGCGGGGGCAGTGGGGACGGGGGAACACGTGATAAAATCTTTTTAAAAAAAAAAATAATAATAACGTGTTGAAAATGAAGGGATGTCATTACCCTTCATCAAAACCGGGGAGCCACGTGCCACATTAAATTTTTTTTTTTTTTTTTTTTTTGGAAGTCATCCACATCTTTATTAAAAGAAATTTTTCTTCTCCATTTTTTTTTTTTTTTTTTTTCAATTTGAAATTTTACAAACAACAACGAAACCATAGTTTGAAAAAGCCAAAGCCGTTTTTCTTCTGCCAAATCCGCGATTTGATTTAACAGTAAAAACATTTAACTAAAACAAAAACATTTCAAATATTCTAATCCCACTTCGAAAACAAAAACAAAATTAAAAATTTCTCTTTCGAAATATCCCAAGATTCTATTCATTATCCATGGGGATGGGAGAGTGAGGTGGGGGGGGGCGAGAAAAATATATATAACGGTAGCGATAATGATAATAATAATAATTTATATTTTCACTTTTAAAAACGGAATTAAAGTGAAAACAATTTAAAATGGCGCCGGTAAAATAACAAAATATTATGTCATAGAAATTCATTAGCGTCGTCGTCGTCGTCGTCGTCGTTTTATCATGTTCGAAAAAATTTTACAAGGTTTTATTTTAAACATTTGTTTTTTTTTTTTTTTTCGTGTAAATAAATTGTTGTCGGGGTAATAGAAAATAAGTTAAGAAATTAAGTCGTAACGGATTAAAACGCGGCGGCGTGGCTGTTTTTTTCTTTTTTTTTTTTTTTAAATTTTCACACTCGTAAAACAATAAAAAATTATCAACGAGCGTGCGTGCATTTCAAACCGTAAATTTTTCTTATCGTGAATGAGAGAATGGGAAAAAAAAATGGCGATAAAGGTTATCAGTGATGTTTTAAAAACGGTCAAATAAAAACTAGGTTATCAGAGTGGGGAGTAGGTAGGTATGCATTAAAAAAAAATTAAAATAAAGGGAAACGATTGATTAGGAATTTATGAAAAACGAGTTCGAGTATTAAACTCCCCTCCCCTCCCCTTCCTCCCATAATGAGAAAAAAGAAAATTCTAGAAATAATTAA